TTCCTCTTCCTCTTTCTGTAGCGATCCGAAGACCAGTCAAAATCGAACAAGAACTTTGAACTGGAAACTGTAACCTTGGGAAGTTGAACATCACTTCCTAGGGGAAAGGTGGAGTCAACCTTGAAGCTCCTTTCAGTCCCTTTGACATGTGGAATCAGGCTAAAAAAGAGGAGAAATATGGTAAAATCTCGACTGATAACTGGTTGTAACATATTCCAGCATATCTATTGTCCTCTACGTCTGAGAGAAAACATAAACGTCATAGCATTCTGACATAAATTCGATAGATAACAGGCATAACCATAATTCAAACTGTTGTCATCTACATCTGAAAGAAATACAGTGTCACAATGCCCTACAGATAATGTCAACTAAGCTAGGCATATAGTATGAAAAGTGGGGCCGGGAAGACCCGTCCTGAAAGTATGAGATAAGTCCTGACTCGGTCTAGACTTGTATGGCTGCAAAAATCCCACCACTTCCAACCCAGGGAGGGAGGGAATAATACTCGCCTCCGTGTCATTAATAAAATCATGACTTTACGTCATGTTAATAGTAAAATCTAGGAATTTTATTAAAGACACGGAGGCTCCTATTATGCTATTTTAAAGCTGAGCTATAATCTTATCAGAAAAATGTTGTATAGGTCTAAAGTAAAAATTCGGGAAAGTGGATTCCGTAGACCAATCCGCAGCCTTCAAAATGTCTTCCAAGCGACATCCAGCCGCCGATGCTTTTGAGGCCATGGCGCCTCTAACAGAGTGGGATGAGAAAGCTGAGACATCGATCCCGGCCGTAGCTAGCAGCCATTTGATCCACCGTGCTAGTGTCGGGGTAGATACAGGCAGATGAGGTTTCTTCAGGGAAATGAACAGGGGTCCGTCATTGGACGGACGTAGCGTAGAGGTGCGAGACTCGTACTCCTTCAGGCATGATATTGGGCATAAATTGGGCAAACTCATGATTCTCGGATAGAAAACCTGTTTAGTAGCCGATTTAGTTCTCCATGAGATATCGAACCACACTCCCTCCGGAGTGAACGTGCGGGCCCGCCAGTCCAAGGCTCTTACATCCGATATCCGTTTACAGGATAATAGGCAGAACAGCATAAGTAGCTTTGCCGATAGTTGTTTAAGGGACAGCTCTATGTTAGAGGGCCAGTCGTCTAGGAGCCTGAACACACAGTTGACGTCCCAGAAGGATCCATATCTGGATGCAGGGGGTCATGTCCAGCTGATGTGGCGGAGCGGAATACGTTGACCGTGCGGAAGGCTTTGCCTGATTCGAACAGGTGCGTTAGGAAGTCTAACACCGACTTCACAGGGGCCGATACCGGATGTGATTTCCCAGGGTTCCCGGAAAGGAGCCAAGCCATGAGGCGGAGAAGGCCTTGTTCCACTAGTGAGTGGCTCTCCCCGTCCGGGTTGGTCAGCAGAGGTGGATGGTCTGGGAGTAACCTTGGGTGGTCTATCGCCATCTCCAATAGGTGTGGAAACCAAGGTTGGGATCTCCAGCATGGGGTTATCAGGACCAACGAGCTCTTGAAGCGTCGGAGGTGCGCTAGGCAACGGGCTATTAGATTGAAAGGCGGGAAGGCGTACGCCCTGCCCTTGGACCAATCTTGGAGGAAAGCGTCGGTCGCTATGGCCTCCGGGTCTGGTCGCCAGCTGCAGAACCTCGGTAGTTGCGTGTTTAGTCTGGATGCAAACAGGTCCATGCTCAAAGGCCCCCATAGGAATGAGATCTTGCGGAACACGCTCGGTTGAAGTCTCCAATCTCCCGAGTCCCTCAAGTAGCGGGAGTTCCAGTCCGCGGTATAATTGTCTAGGCCTGGGATGTGTTCCGCGGTAACGGACACACTGTTCTTTAACAGTAATTCCAGAAGTCTCGGGCCAAAACTGCTAGGATGCGGGACCTGGTCCCCCCTAGATGGTTTATGTATCGCACCGCCGAGACATTGTCCAGCTTGAGTAGGATCGAGCATGAGATGCCTTTGGGTGAGAGACTGCGAATGGCGAACGAGGCCGCCAGCAGTTCCAGAGAGTTTATGTGTAAGAAGGACTCTTCCGTGGACCATCTGCCTCCTGTGGATATAGAGCCGCAGCGCGCGCCCCAGCCATGTAAGCTGGCGTCCGACTCTATCACCAGGTCCGGGGTGGACCGGAAGATCGCCCGGCCGTTCCATGCCTCCATGTGGGTTAGCCACCAGTTCAGTTCCTCCCTGGATTCTGTGTCCAGGGTAACGTGAGATTCGTGGCCACTTCGTAGGCAGGTCACTTTCAGGCGCTGTAATGCTTGGTAGTGGAGCGGGCCTGGGAAAATCGATTGGATAGAGGCTGCCAACAGGCCAAGGACCCATGCCAGTTGGCGTAGGGATATGTCTGGTCGGTGCATAAGTCTCCTTATTTCCTTTTTGATGTTGGCCATCTTTTCCGCCGGGAGGCAAAGGATGTGTAGGACAGAGTCGATTCGGAATCCAAGGAATTCCATTTGTTGCGAGGGGATTAGAACTGATTTCTTCCAGTTTACAAGGAAGCCCAGGAGTAGGGTCCACCTTAAGTGCTCTAGCAGCAGGGACCGTGTCCCAGAGAGTATGAGAATGTCGTCCAGG